CGAACTTTAGCAACCATATGTGTCTCTGGGTGCAAATGTAGATGCAAACCTAGATGTAGGGTTTCCTTGTGCGGTTTTAGCTTGAACGGTAGGTAGTACCACCATTATATGCTATTAGCACCCCATTTGGATGGATTGAAAGCAACGCCCATGTTCCATCAGTGCGAAAGAGGCGCAGAGCACACCAGCATGAGTTCATTTTCATAAGACTGCCATCTAATCTCCTGTTACATCCGAGGTTTTAGTTCTCATGTGGATACACCATCTTTCTTCAACAGGACTATCTCAAATCCTCCTTCAGCCATGAATTTTTGGCTTTGCGACTCGGCAACTATGCATGCTTATTGAATAGAGGACACGTGAACTCCAGTAACACCGCAAGCATTTGTCAGTACATGGACTTTACCATTCTGCTCCCTCCATCCGCTTTTGGTGTATATGGAGCTAAGGATGCAATTGTTATGACCAACAACCGAAACATCATGGACTAAACCCAGGTATTTACTTTCAAATTTCCCAACCTAGGTAGGAACTGGCATTGTGCCAAGCACTGCTCTGCTTGTATTTTAAATTTCCTTTTTTTGCATTGGAACAACAGCACCGGTTGAAGTAAACATTAATTACACTAATTGAAAAAATAAAAATATAACAAATTAAAAAACAGAAAAACCTGAGTAGAACAATCGTCAAGAACATGAATGTCAAGCTGGACGCCAATGAGTTGGTCAACATCGATAAGGTAGACATTTTGTGAACAGGCAAGATTCTCTGGCTCAGGGAAAAAGAGGAAAGATGCTCTGTCTGGGCAGATGGAATTCCAATTTTGCTACAACAAGTATCAGATGTTACAGCGTTGTCAACACCCAGCTTGATGCGTCTATTGACACTGATTTTGGAAACTGCTTCTTAGAAATGCGTGAGAAATCTAAAGTCGCGCATATGAAAATGTACTCTGCACAGTATACAATTTATATTCAGCCATTCACACCGTGAAACGCTTGTTGCGACGTTGTTGTAGAATCATTTTAACACTTGTCGCAACATGTCTTTGTTTTGTAACTGTTTAGGCATCTTGCTTTTGCGGCTTGAATTAATTTCATTTGCAGATTAGGCTCTAGAACAAGTATTCTGTCGTAGTTTTAACTTGACATGAATGAAAGTTTTCAAATGCTTGTTTATAATATGGGCTACCTAGAAAATCCCAAATGCCTAATTGCCAGCGTGGTTCATTTTGGGACGACGATTTCGTTTGGCAAATATTATCTGATGATAATGTTGAAGGCAATTTATTTTTAAAGTTTGGAAGTAAACGAAGTATTGCGGAGAGGTTAAACCATACATTGGCCAAGCGTCTGTTTGGACAGCAAAATGCCCAGATATTTGCAGTCAGGATGGCGAGCCTGATGTAGCAACCCTGAATGGTGAGTTTACGTGGATTACAGGCAAGACCGATTGATGCCATTCTTGAAACCACCTGTGCAGGCTATACGTACAATCAGGGTGCAATATAAACCCATGAAAGTCCAAAACCTGTTTTTTGAAAAATAAGAAAATACGTGCATAATGCAAACTAAATAATGAAAAACGTTACCAAAGCAGCCATATTTAGTTTATAACAATTTACTTACACCTAAACAAATTGGTACTTCTATATGACCTGTTTTCGACTATGCCGATTACAGAGCAATTTTGATAGCTACCGAGTTCCGTAACCCATATACAAGTCGATGCAGTTTCAATTACCTAATCCATATACAAGTGGATTTGGAGTATAAGATCAAGACCCGATTTTAAAGTAAAAAATAATTGACTTATAGGCTGGAAAATACGGTAACTGTTTAGAAAAGACGAAATCATCAAAAGAAAACATGCAAAATCAAGTTAAGACAATAAACTAAACTTTATTAAAAGAAATTATTTATTTGATATTACATGCTGTATTCACTAAAAATATAAAAATGGTGTGATATTTCACAATACTGGTGCTACAACTTTTGAAGGACAATTGTAACGATCTCCATATATATTATATGCTCTGTGGAGAGTTACTCATATCCATCTGCCATGCTCATGTCATAACCTGTACATGACAAATTTCATTTCTGTTCAACAACTTGCTAAAAATTTATGTATAGAAACCAAATTTTGTAACAGGTTTTACACTGAGACCTTAGTTAAGATAAAGCATGCATCGTGTTTAGTTTATATGTTACTTCCTAGTATTATGATATATAAGACTCAAGAAGCAAAACTGTTTCCGCAGATTTATTGATAGAAAAGTTGCATGCATTTATAAATTTGTCTACTTTGCTTCATATATATATAACTGCATATACAATATATAAGTAACTGCATACACCATATATATTTGTTTATAACTCTACCTCTTTTACTGAAAACTCATTAATGCAAATAAGTCCTATAAGATATAAAAAAAACATTAAAATCTGACCTTATTCCCTTGTAAAGACAATCTTTTGTTGTTTTCTCATTTCACAATGTTTTGATAAAGTTGCTTATTATATGAAGACAACCTTAATCCTTTAGCATGTAAATGCAGCACTAGTTTGTTTTACCTAGTTTCTCTGCAAAGTCTATAACTAGTGTGCCATGAATTTAACACTTGTTGATGACATTTCCAAAACTGATAAAACTGTCTTTTACAGACCACAAGCTCAACCTATAAATAAATAATTCTTATGAATAGTCATCAATTACAGTGTGCTTTATAACATGAATATCATACATTGTGAATTGTAAACTTAGGTACTTTCACCATTATGGTGAAAGAAAACTTAATGTGTATAACGGAGAATTGAAGTTTGCAAAGAAAATCAATAATGATGCTGTAGAATGTAAATGTGGTATTTTCAGTGCAGTGGATGGGTTAGACGATGAAGAATTCTCAAGTGATTTCGTCATTAGATGAGAAATCCAAGTCTTATGATATTTATAATGACCAGATGGAATTCAGATGGAATTCCGGATGGAATTCAGATGGAATTCCGGATGGAATTCAGAACTTTATCTGGTAACACTGATGATGATGAATTTTAGGAACCAAATGATATTAGTCAATATGAATCATAAAAGTGTGTACTTTACTTTGGATAAAATGTAAATTGTAAATTTATTTGTACATATTCAACTAAACAATACAAATATATTTATTGTATATTGGTTTTGATTTTATTTGTCCTATCTGTCTATCCATCTATCCAATTTGACTTATTTTTCCCCATGTTCAATTCTGACTCACTAACCACAAGTCACCCCTTGCAGATGGATCTGACTTGCAAAAAACACCTCCACTTATATGAGGTTCATAGAGAAATTTACTTGTCGAGGCCTAAAATTGAAGTTTAAGGGATCGAATTGTAGTTGATTTGACTTATATGCAAGTATATATGGTATATTGTTGAAGTTGATCTTTATTAAAAATTTTGTTTCAGTATAATTTTAAATTCATCGTCTTACCTTATTATATATTAACTCAGATGCTCAAGCAAGTGGATTATTGGATGGTACAGCATTATAAATAAATCGTATAAAATTTTACTAGCATCCAGATGTTGTTGTTGTTCTGGGGCTTAACATCATTTTTCAGCACACGATAGGCTATACATGGCGGCCAGTATTATTGGTGGAGGAAGAAACTGAAAAATCCGTGGAAAGAACCACTGACCCACAAGAAGCTACTGGCCAGCTTTCTCACATATCCTCATTCGCCAAATCTTAGACTCGAACTCATGCAGACAGAGGTGAGATGGCAGTGATCCGTAATGGACAGCGCTTCAGATCACTCTGCCACTCGGGGCCCCTAGCATCCAGATGTAAAATAAGCATTAGTTGTAAAATTTTGTATTTAATAAAAACAACAGTGAGTATAAAAACAAATAAAAAAAACCCCACAAAAAATATAATCTCCAGGTTTTTTTTTTAATTTTGATATCTCGCCATCATAGTAGTATGGCATGTGTTTCTACAGTTCAATTGCCCATCCTAACTTGCTAAGTTCTAAATGTTTCAATGAGAATTTTATTGAACATTTGTATTCAATGAACACATTTCTAGTGTCTGTTAATTTTCTATCTCCCTTTACTTTATCCAAGTTTCTCAAAAAATAATTGTTTTTGAGGTGGTACAAGAAAAACATCTGGCTCTCACAAGGGCTTTTGTTTTACAATTAGTTATAAAAGGTCTCTTCAAAAGTTTAATATGCTTAAAAAAAATTATATTCATTACCAATTGCTATTTGAAAAGGGAACCACATGTGACATAACTGTACAGTGTTGAAACAGCTTGTGCAAGACAAAAAAAACAGTGGACCCCTCAAAACATGATCACACTCTACATATTCGTTTTGAAGATTTCTGTTGTGACATTAATACACTAAACTGAAAGAGACAAGAAGATCTGCTTAAAGTCTGTGCATATTTGTTTGTTTTTTTAGAAATGCTCTTTTTTCACTAATTTTTACTACAGGAAACTTGTAGAAATGTATTTCCAAATTTTTAAAGATTAATTTTTGTACAATTGTATATCATAACCTATTTATCAATCTAGCAACCATCTACAAAATACATATGAATACTACTCAATGCATAAAGTAAGAAGACTACAGTCACAAAGATCCAAAAAAGTAACAACCTTCCATATAATGGACACTTGTCTATAAGGACTTTGTCCTTCTATTATGAATCCTTTGCTCACAGGTTTTACTATTTACATTTCGGATTTGTAAAACAATTTATTTGTGATGTGATGTGTGTATGATTCTTAATGTAGCTTTAACAATTTTTCAGTCATATTGCTATAATGTCTGCAGTATGGCAGTTTATAGTGATGTCTAACACTGGGGCATCATGCCACAGACATGTAGCAGATGTCCCACCCAGTTACATTATCCTGACACCAGGCCAACTAGTACAAACACTAACCTCTTAATGCTGAGCATCAAGCAAGGCAGCTATTAGTACCATTTTTGTAAGTCTTTGATATGACTTGACTGGGGATCGAACCCACAACCTCCCGCATCCAAGACAGATGCTCTAACCACTAGGTCACCAATTTATTTGTAGTATTTTTAACACTACATAACCTGTGTAATGTACAAAAAACCACCAACACTTAGTAAGGTAGGTTTTATACAGATCCCAAATGCATTTGTCTTGCAAATATATTTGTTTAAAAGTCAGATCCAACTGCATAGACCCAGATCTGCTGTTGCATAATGGGATAGAAGATCAGGGTCTATTTTGTTTGCAATGGGACCAAACTTACAGGTGAAAAAATATGGTATATATCTGTTTTAAACTTCATTCAATGAAGAGTATAAAGCCTTCTAAGCCATAATGTGTTAACTAAATTTAATACAGGATCTTATTCATGTCCATTGTCTTTCAACTTTAGATATTTCATACAAATGGTATATCTAAAGTGGAATTTGTTACAGGTAAATCTGTACAAGATAAACATGATTTGTTAGATAGCTTATATATAATCTATCATTCATGTGACATACCTGTGTGTGTGTGTGTGTGTGTGTGTGTGTGATTTGGATCTTTAAAGTAACTTTAACAATTTTTCAGTCATACTGTTACAATGTGTGACAGTTTATAGTAATGTTTAGCACTGGGGCATCATGCTGCAGATGTGTCCCACCCAGTCACATTATCCTGACACCAGGCTGACTAGTCCTAACACTAACCTCTTAATGCTGAGTGCTTAGTGATGCAGCTGATAGTGTCATTTTTATAAAAAGTCTTTCATAAGACTCAGCCAGAATTCAAACCCACAACCTCCTGTATCTGAGGCATACAGTTTAACCAATTAGGTCACTAATTGGAACATCCACATATATCTGATTGAACTAAGCTTAGGTACATGTATACAGGCATTCAGGTATAAGTTATGTAGAGTTTTTAAACATGGGAATTTTCTAACATATATTCCTTAAGAAAGTTAAAGTGAAGGTGATGTACAAAAAATATATATAGTTGTGTTTGTTTAATTATAATAATAATCATACTTAACAAAAAGTACATCAGTTAATATATATATATATATATATCAAAGGAAATTTTTTATATCAAAACATCTACAAAAATAGAAAATAAGTAGTAAAGGATATGGTACAGAGCAAAGGGGGCTGGAACACCACAAGTTCTACTATCAACTTAGTGGCAGCCTCCCCAAAAAGATGTATACATATTTGTATAAAAAAAAACTCTAATCAAGGTGTCTCATACAATAAAAATGTGTAAATATTTTTCAAAAATCAAACAGAAACAGTACATTTGCAATTCTATTAACATTTTGAGTAAACATGGAAATTACAAAAAGCTAGGAACTGACACATTTGTTACAGGTAAATCTATACAAAATACAAAAGAATAACACAAGTCCGTTGAAGCGACTGATGCTCTATTGGGCAAAAAGAATTTCAAGGAATTCAAAATCAGACTACTTCTTTCTTTTAACTCTGACCATTGAAACCATCGCTGATATTCTTCATTGTCAAATTAGTGGCTGTGGTGGACATTTGGGATGTCTGCTTGGCACTATTTTGTTTTCGACAAAGTTAGACATAATTATAAGTCTCTTGGTAAAAAATAAAGATCATCTATTCTGGAAAATTTTCATGACAGCCATCTTGGCAGCCATATTAGACTGGCACCATTTATATTTAGGATCAGTTAAGTGACATAAGTCAAATGGTGAAAACCCCATGTTGACATCACCATCCATTTGTAAGAAGAGATAATATTTTAAAAATAGCCATAATGCTGGTGATGGAGGAGGTTAGCCATTTTTACATTTAGCACCAAGTAAACAACATTAGAACATTCTTGATGAATGCCCTGAGTGAAAATGAAATTCCTTAAAGTGGAACAGCTAAAACAAGTTCAAGATGGCCACTGATTTTCTTTAATATCAACAAAACATTATATGAAGTCTTTTAGTGAAAATCCATGATAATAAGACCATTTATTCAGAAAAAGTAACAAGATCTTCAAGTTGACCATTGTGCCAGCCATGTTAGCTTATATCAACACAATTTTCACTTCTAACCATGTAGACATCATAAGAAGTCTTTTGATGAAAAACCATGTCAACATGACCTTATATTCAGAAGGGGTAGCAATAAAAAGATTTTATTATTTAGATGGCAGCACCAGTTTCATTCAGGACCAAACAGACATCGACAGCAGTCTTTTGTGAAAAATTCATCCTGACAAGAGCATTCGTTCAGTTGTGAAAATGAAGATTTTTGAAATGGCCACTGTTTAGTTGCCATATTGGATGACAAATCAGCAAACATTCATTTAAGACCAACTCAACATAACAAGAAGTCTTTTGGTGAAAATCCCAGATCAGCATCACTTATATTCAGGAGGACTTGCTAAGATATTGAAAATGGCTGCAATGGCAACTATACTGTACATCAAATTGGCACTGTTTTTATTTAGGATCAATCAGAAATCACATGAAGTCTTTCAGTGAAAACTGCATGCTATTTCTGTGTGTGTGTGTGTGATTGTGTGTGTGTGATTTAGTTTTTTAACATAGCTTTAATATTGTTAGTCTTATTACTATAATGTCTGCAGTGTGGCAGTATAAAGTTATGTCTAGCACTAGTCACATTATCATGACACCAGGCCAACCAGTCCTAAGACTAACCTCTTAATGCTTAGTGCCAAGCAAGGCAGCTGCTATTACCATTTTAATAAGCCTTTGGTATGACTCAGCCAGGGATTGAACCCATGACCTCCCGCATCTGAGGTGGATGTTCTAACGCATGTTTATATGACCATCCAGGAGGGGTAGAGATAATATTTTCAAGATGCTTTCTGTGGGGGCTGTACAAGATCCCTAGATATGCACCATTTTCACATGGGACCAATTAGACATTAGAAGTTGTCTTCTAGTGCAACTTCATGTTGATATGTCTATATATTCAGAAGGGATAGCAATGACAAGACTTTAAAAATGTCTGCTGTTGTGGACACTATAGGCATCAGATTGGCACGTTTTCCTTTTGGACCAAGCAGACATCATACTAAGTCTTTAAATGAAATTTTCATTTATAAGCAGTATTGATAACAGATGTTTAAGATGGCTGGTATCGTAGACAAACTGGACTTCAGATTGGCACCATTTTCATTTAGGACAAACTAGAACTCTATGTTGGTTAGTCCATCCATTCACAAGGAGTAGCGATAAAATATTTAAGACGGCCAATGTGGTGGCCACACTTGATGTGTGAGCAGTACCATTTTCATCTAGGACCAACCAGACCCATTGGATGAATATGGATCACATTTCATGGCAAATTTCCAAGTAGTTTAGGAGAAGTATCAATAACAACCTTGTTCTTGCAGACAGAGCACATGGTGTTTCTCGAGTGTGTGCGATGAATGTTTCTCACCTTTCCAAACCTCATAAGGGTTGGACCATATTATGCACACGCAACCTGCCTTTTAGTAGTGATAAAAATTTGAGAAAAAATAAACTCTATAATAGATACCTACACTTCCAACTCTAGGGATGACAATCATAAAAAAATGATAAACGGAGGCATGTAGCATTATTGAGACAAGTCTGCAGTAAAACAGAAACAAAAGATGCACAACTCTTTGGAAAATAGTGCAAATAAAATAAATAGTGAAAATGCATATATTTGATGATGAGACCAAGTTTCAGAGAAATCCACTTCAAGAGTAGTTACATTCACAAAATTCAGTTATATAATGCATCCAGCTGTATGTATAAACAACAATTTGTACAAAATTAAGGGAGCATAAAGATTTGTCAATATTTACATGATTTTTACATAACAATCCATTAAAAAACACAAAATCAGCAAGACAAGATTCAAGGCAAAACAGCAACTGTAACAAATTTGCATGAGGACATGAACATGATATGAACAGCCTCAAATAATGACCATTACATGTAAAAAGTTTCATGATCATCAACAACAATATAACAAGGTCAACAACAATAAAAAAATGGTTTCTTGATAAAGTACCAGCTCATGTGCCTATCAACTTTTTAAAAGCCAGATAAGGAGATTAAATTTTAAAAAAAAGACGAAGATTTGGCCCTAAATTCAGGAGTTGTTTCACATCACATTTTAGCCTCGTTTTAAAAAAAATACTGACTGATCTTCTGTGTCCAATATGTATGAAATTCTCAAAGGACATGTCTGTGATGTAGGAAGTGCCCTCTTTTCATATCATATTTTGGTCAGCTGTGGCCAAACTGCACAATAGCAAAAGGTCAGTCTTATGTAAACAAGCAAGAAAGCCATCTAATTAATGGTTAATCCTTATCATTGTAATTATCTTGTGAAAAAATGACTAGTCCTCTGACATAATTCAAAGAAACCATGTTCTACAGTGTGTTATGTAAACACCAGCAACTGACTGGCAAATAAACAATGTCCTATTCTGTTGTAAATACACATTCTCAAGTCCATGTGGCAACTATATTTCCCATGTTTTATCACTCATTTAAGTTTCTTTGATGGGAATGGAGTTGCTACAGCAACTTAAACTAATTACTGACAATTTTATTGTTGTTTTATTTTTTGTTGTTTAGTTTCTGATGTTAGTAAAATGATCTGCATAATGCTTAAACGATTACTAAGTTTCTAATGTGATAATTATTTCGTTACAATAATATTCTGAGGTGATAATATGAAACATGGCTTCTGTGAAAAAAATTGGGAGATATGAAATTAAGAGTTAGTCGTGGAACAACCCCAAAATTTGGAAGATTTTTCTCCCCATGTGAAAGTTGACATGTATGTCATAAAAAACACTGATCCTTCTTTTTGCATACAGAAGATTTTGTTATATATTGTACTATACAAGTCTCCAAGTAACAAAGAGCAATAACTCTTAATAAAAGTCTCTGAAACAGTGATTGTTGATTTTCAGATCATGATTACAACAGTTTCAGAGCTTCAGCGCAATCCAGACTAGTTTTGTTGACAAGATTCTGTCATTCAATACATGTAACAAGTCAACAAGGAAAATGACTCCTAAAATCAAAAGACAACAGTG